CTGCTGAAGATGCATTGCTAAAATATTTATAATATCATTAATGTGGTTGATTTGGCAAAAACTTATTAAATCTCCCAAATAAAGACCATATGTTATTTTCTAACATCTATCTTATATGTACAAGAGTTTTTCATATTTTAGGTAACTGAAAATTAAAATAAACTTAAATAAATCTAAAATATGTTAAATAGATTAAATATATAATTTAAGAATGGAGATGTATTTTTTTAAACTGACCACAAAGACAAGCTATAAAGAAAAATTTTCTATATTTGTCTACATAAACATTAAAGGATTTTTGCATATTAAAACTCATATCGAATAATATAAGGCAAACATCAAACTGAGAATGTAATCGTAGCATATGACCAACAGATGATTTGTATCCTTAATATATAAAGAGGTCTTAGAAATCAGTAAGAAAAAGAGTACACCACAACATAAAAATGGGAAGAAATCATAAACAGGCTTCAGGAGGAAGAGGAATAAATGACATATGTGCGGGAAAAAAAATGGTCAACTTTAATTGTAGAAACAGAAAGGCAAATTATAGAAGATACGCATATTTTGCCCATTATATTGGCAAAGATGAACAAAAAGGATAGAACACAATATTTTCTTCATTATCATAATCTGTTTTTGAAGTGACATTTGCAAATTTTATGTGTTTAAAAATTAAGCATAATTTTAGAATGGGCAATTTCTATGTTTTAGAAATTTATAAAGAAATAAAGATGTGGTAAATATTCCGCTGGATGATATTTTACTGTGTAATTTTCCATAATAAAGGTTGGTGCTCAACAAATATTTGTTAATGAAATGGTGACTAGTAGAAATTTGTTAAATAGATTATGATACAGTCGATTAATGAAATATCTTTTAGACATAAAAATGACAAGGCAGATGAATTTGTATTGAGAAATGAAATGTATTCTATTGTTGAAGAAGAATGGTACAAAACCATATGTACACTGCAGTCACATGTTTCACAAAAATAATTGCCCCAAGGTAGTTAACAATGGTTAACTAGTGGCAATGCGATTACGAATTTGTCATTTAAAATTTTTCTTCTTTTTATTATCTAATTTATCTACAATAAACATATGATACATTTGGAATTAGAAAAAATATCCCACATAAGATATTTTTAATTTCAAAACTTTCTCATTCTACCAACAATCACCTGGCTGATACGGGGAAGAAGTTTAGAGTCAGTATGGCATTATGAATAAGTAGAAAAAAGATAGAAAAGGCAGATATTTTTTGGATTTACATAGCTATTTATTACCGTTTGAGGAGTGTCTAAGAACAGGTAAAATACTTTAGCTTTACTCTGACGTTTGTTAATTCAATATCTCTTGGGTTAAATCCTTTAGCACCCCATGAATCTAAGTCACCGTCATGCTTTACTTTAATTTCGATAGCTTCGCAACTGATTTCCCAACTGGTCTCCTTGCTGCTTTTACTCCACTGAAGACTCTTTTAAAACCAGAAGCCAAGGTTTCAACTCTCATTCAGATCAACACCAATATCCTAACAATGACCTCCAAGGCCTTAGAGAATCTAGTCTCCTATGATCTCTCTGACCTCATCGGCGAATACTCTGGCCCATGCTCGCTCTGCTCTGGCCGCGCCTGCCTCCTCGCTGTTCTTCACACACACCGAGCAGGCTCCCCTCTCAATACCTTTGCCTTTGTTTTCTCCTTTGATCAATATACTCTTCCCCCAAATATCTACATGGCTCACTCAATCACTTCTGTACTGAGTTTGCTCAGTAGGGGCTCGGCGGGTGTTTTCGCAACCACTCTTGAAAGATAAGTGTTCAAACCATTTCCCTCCTCATCCTTGCACCTCATGAAAGTAAAAAGGAAATGAATTAGGGTTTCGCAGAATAAGATGTGAGTGTGTGGAGACACCGGCCTAGTAGCTCGCAGTTTTCCTTACATTCACTCTTTGGTGTAGTTCAGCCTTTGTTTCCTCATCATCCCACAAGTCCTCAGGAAGAGAGTTGAAATCAGCCTGCCATTGAGATACAAAATCTTGCTTGTGATCCGGACGCCTTAGAAACTGCTGGAAACTTGTTCTGTAAGGCGTTAAGAGAATGAGATAGAGCTTGCACGTCATATCTGTAAACTGCAAAATTCAAACTTTGGAAACTTCACTTACCTAATATTATATAAGTAACCAAGTACAACATGCTGGTCTTCTCTCAGATGCCTGAGTACTGTTTTGATGGAGTTTACATAGGAATTTTCTATTAGTTCCCAGTAAGGTACTAAAAATGAAGGTATTTCCTGTTAAATGGCAAAGCATAGAAATCATAAATCTAAAGTGAAAATTCTTCTGAATAATGAGTCAAAAGAGCAGAACTAAGCAAGAAGATCAAAATGCAACTGCCAATACGTAAAACATTTGCTGTGAAGCTTCTTGCTCCTTTCCTTTCCCCACCTCCACTGACTCCTGAGAATACTCATCTCATAAAGCCAGGAACAAAGGTTGTCTTATTTGCCACTTTACATTTTTCCATAGAATTTCCACAGTGTCTGAGACATAGTAGGTGCTCCAGAAATATTTATGGAATGAACGAATAAACTGCATTGTCACAGATGTCACGTTTTCTTTATGTTGGAAAACTGCCCACTATGAAGAACACCTAGTGTTCATGTCAGAATGATGATGAATTATTTCTCCGAATTCACACAAGAGATTTTATCTTTGCTCTGTGCATCATGAAAAGTGGCAAGTTGCTTTTATGTTATCTTTAATGATATGAACACACAATCAAAAAAAAAATCAAAATGAAATAAAATTGAAGATACTTATTATATTCAATATAAACTTGCCGTACTCATTATTCTCTTATTGGCTGTGCATATTTACTAAGGGCATCACACATGGGAACCTTAGAGGTCATATGGGCTAATTTTCTCTCTAACTTAGAAATGCGAACTACTAGACATAGATTATCCAGTCTCTCTGTGGACTTCACTGCTGTATTAAGCATGACATTTCAAGGCAGCTCCCTCCAATATCACACAACTCATATTACTGGAAAATTCTTCCGTATGTTGAGTAGAACTTTGCCTTCCTGTAGTTTCCACTTAGCCATAGCGGTGCCCTTTGGAGAAGAACAGACTATATTCATACATCCTTCCCTATGACAGCTTGTCAAACATGTGAAGACGTCAGTGAGGAGAGGTAGGCTGGGATTCAGGAAGAAACTTGCTTGTTTTGGGATTCCCAGCATCCAGTGCAGCACATAATGGATGCTCAGTAAATGTTAATATAAATGTAATTCAACTAACCCGAACCCAATTTTATCATCTGTTAAATTTTTAGGAGACTGGGTGGCTTCATCTATTTCTAAAAGTCTATGATTCTATGTCCAACCATACTTCAAGTATTCATTCACCTAAATTAAATATTTACACTTCCTTTAATGCTCCTTTGACATTATTTTAACACCCTTTTCTTACCTAGTTTCCCCCTTCTGTTTCTAGTTTGTCATGATCTCCCTTAAAGGATGTGGGATCCAGAAGGGTGATAAAGGCCATTTTAAATAAGCCCACCACTAAACCTCTCACCTGGTTGACTTCAACCTATTATTTAATACTGCATGCATGAAGAGTTGCTACCTAAGAATGGACCTAATTAGACTAACATCCCGCTCACTGCTCTCATTTCTCTATAAGAACTTCATGAGAAGTTGTCAAATACTATTTTAAACATAAGATATATGACGTCTTTGGTACTTCTCTGACCTGCCTATCCAACCTTGCTATCAAGAAAAAGGAATGGGCCAGTTCAGC